TTGTTATTATTATTATTATTATAAATGTTATTATTATTGTTATTATTATTATTGTTTGTTATTATTATTAATGTTATTATTATTATTATTGTTATTATTATTGTTTGTTATTATTATTAATGTTATTATTGTTGTTGTTGTTATTGTTGTTGTTGTTATTATTAATGTTATTATTAGTGTGAAGTCATTTCACACAGATTACCGCTCCTTTGAGTTTGAAGCTGGAGATACCGGTGAGTTTCCAGAAGTTGTCCTCTGCGATGTCATGTTTAGGGACCCGACTACAGACCCGGTGCCTGCACCTCTTATCTGACCGCCCTGTAGTGTCTGTGGCGGGCTGTAGATGATTGGCAGTCCCCTGTATGGTGAAAGGGACCTTTACATCTTCTCTTTTTTTAAATCTTTGACAGACAAGTCCAGTAAAAGTTTCCCGGACCGCTCTCTCATTTCCCTGTTTCCTCGCCTTCCATCGCCCGGACCGCTCTCATTCCCCCGTCTCCTCGCCTTCCATCGTCCGGACCGCTCTCTCATTCCTGCGTTTCCTCGCTTCCATCGCCCGGACCGCTCTCCTATTCCCCCGTTTCCTTACCTTCCATCGCCTGGACCGCTCTCATTCCTGCGGTTCCTCGCCTTCCATCGTCCGGACCGCTCTCTCATTCCTGCGTTTCCTCGCTTCCATCGCCCGGACCGCTCTCCTATTCCCCCGTTTCCTTACCTTCCATCGCCTGGACCGCTCTCATTCCTGCGGTTCCTCGCCTTCCATCGTCCGGACCGCTCTCTCATTCCTGCGTTTCCTCGCTTCCATCGCCCGGACCGCTCTCCTATTCCCCCGTTTCCTTACCTTCCATCGCCTGGACCGCTCTCATTCCTGCGGTTCCTCGCCTTCCATCGTCCGGACCGCTCTCTCATTCCTGCGTTTCCTCGCTTCCATCGCCCGGACCGCTCTCCTATTCCCCCGTTTCCTTACCTTCCATCGCCTGGACCGCTCTCATTCCTGCGGTTCCTCGCCTTCCATCGTCCGGACCGCTCTCTCATTCCTGCGTTTCCTCGCTTCCATCGCCCGGACCGCTCTCCTATTCCCCCGTTTCCTTACCTTCCATCGCCTGGACCGCTCTCATTCCTGCGGTTCCTCGCCTTCCATCGTCCGGACCGCTCTCTCATTCCTGCGTTTCCTCGCTTCCATCGCCCGGACCGCTCTCCTATTCCCCCGTTTCCTTACCTTCCATCGCCTGGACCGCTCTCATTCCTGCGGTTCCTCGCCTTCCATCGTCCGGACCGCTCTCTCATTCCTGCGTTTCCTCGCTTCCATCGCCCGGACCGCTCTCCTATTCCCCCGTTTCCTTACCTTCCATCGCCTGGACCGCTCTCATTCCTGCGGTTCCTCGCCTTCCATCGTCCGGACCGCTCTCTCATTCCTGCGTTTCCTCGCTTCCATCGCCCGGACCGCTCTCCTATTCCCCCGTTTCCTTACCTTCCATCGCCTGGACCGCTCTCATTCCTGCGGTTCCTCGCCTTCCATCGTCCGGACCGCTCTCTCATTCCTGCGTTTCCTCGCTTCCATCGCCCGGACCGCTCTCCTATTCCCCCGTTTCCTTACCTTCCATCGCCTGGACCGCTCTCATTCCTGCGGTTCCTCGCCTTCCATCGTCCGGACCGCTCTCTCATTCCTGCGTTTCCTCGCTTCCATCGCCCGGACCGCTCTCCTATTCCCCCGTTTCCTTACCTTCCATCGCCTGGACCGCTCTCATTCCTGCGGTTCCTCGCCTTCCATCGTCCGGACCGCTCTCTCATTCCTGCGTTTCCTCGCTTCCATCGCCCGGACCGCTCTCCTATTCCCCCGTTTCCTTACCTTCCATCGCCTGGACCGCTCTCATTCCTGCGGTTCCTCGCCTTCCATCGTCCGGACCGCTCTCTCATTCCTGCGTTTCCTCGCTTCCATCGCCCGGACCGCTCTCCTATTCCCCCGTTTCCTTACCTTCCATCGCCTGGACCGCTCTCATTCCTGCGGTTCCTCGCCTTCCATCGTCCGGACCGCTCTCTCATTCCTGCGTTTCCTCGCTTCCATCGCCCGGACCGCTCTCCTATTCCCCCGTTTCCTTACCTTCCATCGCCTGGACCGCTCTCATTCCTGCGGTTCCTCGCCTTCCATCGTCCGGACCGCTCTCTCATTCCTGCGTTTCCTCGCTTCCATCGCCCGGACCGCTCTCCTATTCCCCCGTTTCCTTACCTTCCATCGCCTGGACCGCTCTCATTCCTGCGGTTCCTCGCCTTCCATCGTCCGGACCGCTCTCTCATTCCTGCGTTTCCTCGCTTCCATCGCCCGGACCGCTCTCCTATTCCCCCGTTTCCTTACCTTCCATCGCCTGGACCGCTCTCATTCCTGCGGTTCCTCGCCTTCCATCGCCCGGACCGCTCTCATTCCCCCGTCTCCTCGCCTTCCATCGCCTGGACCGCTCTCGTTTCCTCGCTTTCCATCGCCCGGACCGCTCTCATTCCCCCGTCTCCTCGCCTTCCATCGCCTGGACCGCTCTCGTTTCCTCGCTTTCCATCGCCCGGACCGCTCTCATTCCTGCGTTTCCGCGCCTTCCATCGCCCGGACCGCTCTCATTCCTGCGTTTCCGCGCCTTCCATCGCCCGGACCGCTCTCATTCCTGCGTTTCCGCGCCTTCCATCGCCCGGACCGCTCTCATTCCTGCGTTTCCGCGCCTTCCATCGCCCGGACCGCTCTCATTCCTGCGTTTCCGCGCCTTCCATCGCCCGGACCGCTCTCATTCCTGCGTTTCCGCGCCTTCCATCGCCCGGACCGCTCTCATTCCTGCGTTTCCGCGCCTTCCATCGCCCGGACCGCTCTCATTCCTGCGTTTCCGCGCCTTCCATCGCCCGGACCGCTCTCATTCCTGCGTTTCCGCGCCTTCCATCGCCCGGACCGCTCTCATTCCTGCGTTTCCGCGCCTTCCATCGCCCGGACCGCTCTCATTCCTGCGTTTCCGCGCCTTCCATCGCCCGGACCGCTCTCATTCCTGCGTTTCCGCGCCTTCCATCGCCCGGACCGCTCTCATTCCTGCGTTTCCGCGCCTTCCATCGCCCGGACCGCTCTCATTCCTGCGTTTCCGCGCCTTCCATCGCCCGGACCGCTCTCATTCCTGCGTTTCCGCGCCTTCCATCGCCCGGACCGCTCTCATTCCTGCGTTTCCGCGCCTTCCATCGCCCGGACCGCTCTCATTCCTGCGTTTCCGCGCCTTCCATCGCCCGGACCGCTCTCATTCCTGCGTTTCCGCGCCTTCCATCGCCCGGACCGCTCTCATTCCTGCGTTTCCGCGCCTTCCATCGCCCGGACCGCTCTCATTCCTGCGTTTCCGCGCCTTCCATCGCCCGGACCGCTCTCATTCCTGCGTTTCCGCGCCTTCCATCGCCCGGACCGCTCTCATTCCTGCGTTTCCGCGCCTTCCATCGCCCGGACCGCTCTCATTCCTGCGTTTCCGCGCCTTCCATCGCCCGGACCGCTCTCATTCCTGCGTTTCCGCGCCTTCCATCGCCCGGACCGCTCTCATTCCTGCGTTTCCGCGCCTTCCATCGCCCGGACCGCTCTCATTCCTGCGTTTCCGCGCCTTCCATCGCCCGGACCGCTCTCATTCCTGCGTTTCCGCGCCTTCCATCGCCCGGACCGCTCTCATTCCTGCGTTTCCGCGCCTTCCATCGCCCGGACCGCTCTCATTCCTGCGTTTCCGCGCCTTCCATCGCCCGGACCGCTCTCATTCCTGCGTTTCCGCGCCTTCCATCGCCCGGACCGCTCTCATTCCTGCGTTTCCGCGCCTTCCATCGCCCGGACCGCTCTCATTCCCCCGTCTCCTCGCCTTCCATCGCCTGGACCGCTCTCATTCTTGCGTTTCCTCGCCTTCCATCGCTCGGACCGCTCTAATTTCCCCGTTTCCTTACCTTCCATCGCCTGGACCGCTCTCATTCCCCCGTTTCCTCGCTTTCCATCGCCCGGACCGCTCTCATTCCCCCGTTTCCTTACCTTCCATCGCCTGGACCGCTCTCATTCCTGCGTTTCCTTGCCTTCCATCGCCCGGACCGCTCTCATCTCCCCGTTTCCTCGCCTTCCATCGCCTGGACCGCTCTCATTCCTGCGTTTCCTCGCCTTCCATCGCCCGGACCGCTCTCATTCCCCCGTTTCCTCGCCTTCCATCGCCCGGACCGCTCTCATTCCCCCGTTTCCTCGCCTTCCATCGCCCGGACCGCTCTCATTCCCCCGTTTCCTCGCCTTCCATCGCCCGGACCACTCTAATTTCCCCGTTTCCTCACCTTCCATCGCCTGGACCGCTCTCATTCCCCCGTTTCCTCGCCTTCCATCGCCCGGACCACTCTAATTTCCCCGTTTCCTCACCTTCCATCGCCTGGACCGCTCTCATTCCCCCGTTTCCTCGCCTTCCATCGCCCGGACCGCTCTCGTTTCCATAATAACACTTCTCAATTTATAGTACTTCTCTATTCATATATTTTTCCATTGATAATACTTATGTAGAGGTCATCAGTGGAAATGGCCTTTGCCTTATTGCCAATATT